ACTGTGACTTTTACTTCCGCCTTAGGAATTGCATCCTTAGATATACTCCTGTGGATAAAATGTAATTCACTCATTGATAATAACTTAGGCCCCTGCTACTGCAGAGGAATCAAACAAGATTGCGGGTATCAAACAGAAGGAGATAAATTCTCGAAATTTTCATTGCACTTCACGTGAGTTTAAGTGTGTCTCTATGTTTCCTGGGTCGTAAAGCATTCATATATTCATGCTATTGTTTAGGTTCATTTCCGAATCAGTGGGGCTCCCGTCAAATTTCACACGAAAATGTAAGACTGCTTTAGAAATCGGAACTCCCTTTGATAAACATGTGACAAATTTTTATTTTTGTTTATCGACCAAAAATGAGAAATAGCTTCAATTACGAAAAATTTGTTTATAATTTCTTAACCACAAAGCAAGGAATGCCGAATTTGAAAAGCACCATACATGTACCTCTAAGCCATTTCAATGTTTTCCACGTACATAAGCTTTTCTTATGTACGTGGAAAACGTACGAGAGTGGTCGTAAATATTCCCTTACAAACTCTTATAATTCCGCCATGACTGTTATTGCGCAAGATGATCATCTCACAGATGGAGCTTAGGCCGCCTGTGCGTACACACAAACAGAGCAGCGCACAGGCGGCCCAAGCTCCAGCTGTGAGATGATCATCTTGTGCAATAACAGTCATGGCGGAATTATAAGAGTTTGTATGGGCATATTTACGACCGCTCTAAGGAATAAAAAATACGTCAAATTCTCAAAAAAAAAAATACCTCACCTTACTTCCACAGTGTGTCGCTTATTATCTGACCGCTTACATTTTAATTCTCAGTTTCGATCAGGTACCACTTTGGAGAGGGTTTATTTTCATCTAAGGCATATGTTCCAAAAATTTACCGCGTTTTTTTCTAATATGATAATCATTATTATTGATGGCGCTGTGTCTCATGGGATCGATACAGCTATTTCAATTTACGTTGTCGGATCAAAGCCTCAAGCCTACAAGACAAGACTGAAGGGGAATATGGGATCTTAATGAATAATTATCAGCAAAATTAACAATGCCTCGTCCATACAGCGAAGATCTCCGATGTCCATGTCCATCTCGCGCCGACAACCCCGAAAGCCTAAAATTAATTCTAATCTACCCATACCGCCTTTCGGTCTTGTCCCGTACCCTTGAAGCTTTGATCCGACAACGTAAATTGAAATAGCTGTATACAAATAACAATAAACGTCATTCCGCAGCCTTGGCGACGCTGACGATCAAGTAATTTTCGTGGAGCTGGATTTGCAATCTAATTCGCGAACTTTTTACTTCTGAGGTAAGTAGTTTACTAGCCTTGCAACGTATTCACGATAGGCATGTCTTTTAATTGCCGCTTTCACTGTGTTAGTCAGAGGAATGAACAAGTGTGAATTAATCCAGTTACACTTCGAAGAATTGTTCGGCAACAGTAAGGATAACAAACAGCAAAAATTCGGTTTGAGGTAGAAGAAAAGCTAAAACTAATTCAGTTCAACCTTTTAAGTTGAAATCTGTTCCCCAAATCTCACTACGCAGCACTATCGCTAATTTATGCTGTGAATTTTACTTCTACGTTTGAAAATTGCATCCGTAGATCAAGTATTTTCGTGGAGCGGGATTTGCTATCCATATATGCGAACTCTTTACTTTTGAGTGAGGTAAGTAGTTTACTAGTCTTGTAACTTATCCACGGTAGGCATGTCTTTTAATTGCCGCTTTCACTCTGTTGATTGTGCTAGTCGATGGAATGAACAAGTGTGAATTAATCCAGTTACGCTTCGACAACAAATGAACAACGAATTGTTCGACAACAACTAAGATAACAAACAGAAACAATTTGGTTTGAAAAGTTTTATTGGTAAAAGAAAAGCTAAAAGCAATTCAGTTCAACCCTTTAAGATGAAATCTGTCGCCCAGTTCTCATTACGCGCCACTCTCGATACTTTACACTGTGAATTTTACTTCCGCCTTGCATCCTTGATGCAAGGATCCTTGCGAATTGCATCCTTAGATATACTCCTGTGGATAAAATGTAATTCACACATTAATAATAACTTAGGCCCCTGCTACTGCAGAGGAATCAAACAAGATTGCGGGTATCAAACAGAAGGAGATAAATTCTCGATATTTTAATTGCACTTCACGTGAGTTTAAGTCTGTCTCTACGTTTCCTGGGTCGTAAAGCATTCATATATTCATGCTATTGTTTAGGTTCATTTCCGAATCAGTGGGGCTCCCGTCGAATTTCACTCGAAAATGTAAGACTGCTTTAGAAATCGGAACCCCCTTTGATAAACATGTGACAAATTTTCTTTTGTTTATAGTCCAAAAACAAGAAATAGCTTCAATTACGAAAAATTTGTTTTTAATTTCTTAACCACAAAGCAAGGAATGCCGAATTTGAAAGGCACCATACCTCTAAAATTAACATAAGTTATGTTAATTAATTAAGCCATTTCGAGGTTTTCAACGTACAAACACGTACAAACAGAGCAGCGTTGCGTGAAATGGCTCAGCATAGTGTCGAATGGTACAGCGTACACACAAATGGTGTAGCATTACGTCGAATAGCTTTGCAGAACATCAGACGCTCTGTCGGAACATTGAATTGCTTAGCATTACATGAAATATTTCGATGTTGTGGCGAATCGTCCAGTCTGCTTGTACAAAAATAGTGTTTGCAATCAAAGCATTCCTATATCACTATGTTTGTTCCCACGAGTGTTTCACCACATTTCTTAGGTACATTCGTAATCTTGTAATCTTACTGAGCGTGAAAACCGTCAAAACTCGAATAGTCCAATTCGTTATCTCTGTGAGGATTTTCTTCTCTGCTCACGTTATAATAACGTAAATTACGGCATTTAGCGTGTTTACAAATCTTTGTTTGATTCTTCTGTTGCTACTTGCTTACTTACCCCACTGACAGTGCGCGTTATATCCGAACTTTATTACAAATGAATTTAACAAAAAATAACTTCCGAGGGCGAAAATCTTAAGTCAAAGAGCGGTCAAATCCATGGAATTGAGCATCAAAGCTCAAACTGGAAGATGATCAAATTTGCTGGTGTACCAGTTTTATCTGTCAGAGTTTCCAAAAAAGGTGAAGGTACACAGCCGCGGAGGAGGCTTGCACTTGGGTCCAAGGTGAATTTTTTCTCGACCAGGCGTGACTGATACGGTCAATTTTGCGTTCGTCTATCACGGAGTAAGTATGTATTTCGTAAGGTGCATAATCACGTTTTGGAACACCAAATTACACTTCATAGTCTCCATGTATTTCATAACCGGGCTAAATATTCCATTACATTGCATTAAAGTCAGCTGCTAAGGAAACACTAGTTAACTATAATACTACCATGGCAAAATAAAATATCGTCATTCTCGATTTGTGCAAAAGCAAATTGAAGCTGTAATTACCAACGACGAATAACTGAATATGTTTCGTTCCTTAATCATTAAAAAAACGCTCACATAATCACTAACCTAATTGCTCCGAACAAGCAGTTCTTTTATTTTTAAACATAGTATATACAGTTGTCTACATTAAAAAAACTTAGAGTACTTAATTATACAGTTTATCTCTCCAACTTTGTTTTACATAAATTCCCTCTTGAGCCGATTCCGATCATTTCAAAGCTTCAACATTCTCCCCCATCTATGCGTCTTTCCTCCAATAGATGCAATCAAATAATATTTGCTAATTGAAAAATCTCAAAGAGAGAACGAATTGGACTGTCCTAGCTTTGACAGTTTTGACGCTCAGTTAGATTGCAAGATTGCGAAAGTACTCATGAAGTGGGGAGACAGACTCGAATGCCTCCCGTGTTTCTCCCTATGGAGTTCCCTGCCTCTCGTGTTTCTCCCGAGGGAGCTCCGTACGTCTCGTATTTCTCCCCACACTTTTTGTGCTCTAGCCGCCTCCTCTGTGCTTAACAACAGAACAGACCACAGTCAAGGCTCCTCAAGATCTTTGAGTTATACTAAGGGACCAGTCAATTTTTTGTCTCCTGGGTGGGGTGGGTGGGGGATTTAAGAAGGACCACATGGTTTTCAGGGGGGAACAGAGGGGGATCAGACACTTCTAAATCCTTTGGCCCCTCCCTCAAGGGACAGCGTGCTCCCAGGTTAATTTTACTATTGCCATTCATGATCTAAAGTACACATTGTGGCGATGTCATCGAATTTGTATGAGGAACACGCGATTAAGTGAATTGATTTACACCTCCAGATAAGGTGAGAGGGATCACTGAACAATCTCTATAAGTTATGACATACTTTATGTGGCCACTTATTTCGCTCGCTCGTTTTTGTACGAGGTAAAGGCTAGGCAAATAGGCGTAGGAGCATTGAATGTACGAGAGGTTGGAATAAAAGAGAGTACTTGAGGATAAATGCATTCAGCATCATAAAGACTGATAGTAAAATTTCAACAGCTTGTAGTTTGATGGCCTTGGTTGGAATCTTGAGGGGATGAAATCTTATGTCTGGGACCTAATACCATTAAGATAAGCGAGGAGGCTTGAACGAGCGCTTTACAAAATGTAGGACGAAGTTAGTTGGGTCCAAACATTTTTTATGTTACAAATGAAGCAATGCTTCAAGACAAGCCTTCGTATGTACATAGGCTAGCCTAACTAATCTTGCGCCACATTAAGAAAGCTGAAAAGAGGCATACTACTTCTAATGATCACTGCTCTTGTTCTGAAATGGGAAACCCCTTGGTGATATATCAATAAGTAATAAGTTTTGTAATGGAATGGAATAGCGCCGGTATATGATTGTATACTACTTTGTAAAAAAAAGGTGAATATCATCTTGTCAAAATGGGTTGAAATATTGATTGGAGTTTTATTATGTGGTTTGGCGTACTTTTCTGATTTTAGGATCAAATCTGTGTGCTTTAAAGTGAGTTGAATTTCTGCTGAGGAAAAATTATGATAATTACAATTTTCTTTTCAAGTGGCAGAACATTGTCAAGGAAGCTACATATAGCTGGAAACAGCATATTCTAACATCTCATATCCTGGCCTATTCACACCAGAAATCATGTTTAGTTAAATTGGTTTTAACTGAATGAAAATATGAAACAAAGAATTGAAAAACTAAAATTTCAGTGAGATTCACACCAGGCCTATTCACACCAGAAATCATGTTTAGTTAAATTGGTTTTAACTGAATGAAAATATGAAACAAAGAATTGAAAAACTAAAATTTCAGTGGGACTCAATCGTTAACTTTTATTTCCAAATGTACTACATGTAAAGTTGACAAAAATTGCTTTAAGCAGAGTCTGCCTTCTATTATGAAAAACATTTTGAGTCATGTTCAACTAAAACACTTTAAGACATGCGTAGGCTCTTGTGTGAATGGGATACTGGAGAAATTTCACAGAATTCCAGGACCTTCAATAACTTTAACTTACTGAACAAAATGAAACTATGAAAATAATGTTACCCCTTGGCTCCTACCTACTCACGTGAGTTTTTAGTGAAATACGAATACATTTGTGGCATATTGATTTAATTAATTTTTTTCAGTAGGAACTAAGGTATATGGATCAAAGGCAATTATACAATTCTGAAATAATTTGTAAACTTTTTTACAGGATATTATCTGAATGACCAAGCTGCCCTCATGAAGATAACCCTTGTGATTGAGGAATGGAGGCAGTCAACCAAAGGCGGTCGTTCCACCCTCATGAGACAGATGGCCATAGAGCTGTCTAGACTAGAAAATGTAGAAGTTTGTATTTTAATTCCAAGTGCTAGTCTTGAGGATAAAGAAGATGCCCAAAGATATAACATCAAAGTTTTTGAACCTAAAAAATTTCCAGGCTTTGAACCAGTTGATTGTCTGCAGTATCATCCACAAGGATTTAGTACTGACATTATCATTGGTTATGGTATTAAGCCGGGATGTCATGGACAGATCCTTAAGAATAACCTTGGCTGTAAATGGGTACATGTGGTCCTAAGAAATGCACGTGAAACAGTATTATTCCAGACAGCCGATAGTGCCATTTCTAAAGGAAAGAGACAGCATGAAACTGAGATAGAATTGTGTAAAAATGCTGACATGGTTTTAACAGTTGGCTCTAAGCTCAATGAGACCTTTAATTCTGCTCTGCATCAGTGTAAGAAAGATGATATATTCAAACTTATACCTGGCATTTTTAATGAGACTTTTGGTGTGCAGAAGCAAAGCCGAGATTCAAAGACCTTTGAAATCTTAGTGTTTGGCAGAGGGAACACTGAAGACTTTGATCATATAGGTCTGCATGTTGCTGTCAAAGCTGTGACACAGCTTAATAAGTGTGAGCCCTTTTACATTCTGAAAGTCGTTGGTGCCCCCGAGGGAGAACAAGAGAAACTGGCGGAGAGGTTGGGAGAATTTGGGATCTCTCGTAATCATCTGATTGTGAGAAGTTTTAACAAAGAAAGAACAAACCTGGCCCAGCTATTTTCGGAAGTGGATCTTGTTTTGATGCCTTCAGGTACTGGGGCGTTTGGTCTCACAGCTTTGGAGGCATTGTCAGCAGGTGTACCAATCCTTATTAACCATGATTCTGGCTTGGCGGAGGCTCTAGAGGAAGTAACGTTCGGGCACGCATGCATAGTAGATCAAGAACCTGATTGGGTTGTACAAATCAAGCGAGCACGAGAACATCGAAAAACTAGATTAGAAGAGGCAGGCATGCTACGCGACATGTATGAAGAGAAATACTGTTGGCAGGACCAATGTGCTGCTTTTGTGAAGAGGCTTAGGGCCTTGCTTTCAGGTTAGAATATTAATTTTACATGCTTTTACCTGAAGTACAAGAATTCAATAAGTATTTAGTAGCTGATTGGCACAAATCTGTTTATCATTTTGAAATAGGCACCATGACTTGAGTTAATAGAAGAGTGAATTAAAAAAAATAGATGCATATTAGGGGGTGTTTAGTATCTGTGCAAATTAGATCATTGCTGAGTTCAGTACAATGTGTATGTTTTAGTGCAAAGATGTTTTGATTTTCATGTGCTCATGCAAAGCCACCAAACCTTAAAATGGACTTTGAAATAACACCAGGTAACATTAGCTTGCCACAAAAATTAAGGCAATAAATTACAGTTACTTACAAGGCTTAACACCTATACAGGTTTCACCTCCTTTGAGTTAATTGCATTGTAATGATATGAGTTGAAGTACAGCTGCACCAACATGTTTTACCCATGTGGGGCTCAGAAATATGACAGTCACACCAATACTTTGATTACTTAATTGTCTTTGTGTAATTTGTGTTATTCATTTATTGACATATAACAGGACATGCCGAGGAAATGCAACAGGAGTTCCAAGGCAGAAGGCGTTCAGCTCGAAAGCGAGTGGCTGGTATTATGACTCACTTGTTTATTTTTTAAACATGCCCTTGTGTTATCAACACTCTGCATTCTTTTTATACAGACTAGGTAGGAACATTAAAATTACACTGGATAACAAGCTTGCCACAAAGATATGCAACAAATTAAAGTCATTTACCAGGCTTAACACTATTACAGGTTTCACCTCCTTAGTTTCCATTGTAATGCTACGAGTTGAAGTACAGCTGCACCAACATATTTTACTCATGTGGCGCTTAGGTGATAATGGTCACAATCGTATCTTGACTATTTGTCTTGGTGTAATTTGTGCTATTCATTTATTGACACCTAACAGGACATGCTGAGGAAATGCAACAGGAGTCCCAAGGCAAGAGAAGTTCAGCTCAAAAGCGAGTGGCTGGTATTATTACTCACTTGTCTATTTTTAAAACCTGCCCTTGGGGTATTAAATAGGTACAAAACTTTAAAATTACACCAGATAACAAGCTTGCCACATAAATATGCAACAAATTACAGTTACTTGCAAGGCTTAACACTATTACAGGTGTCACCTCCTTAGTTCCATGCATTGTAATGCTATGAGTTGAAGTACAGCTGCACCAGCAAATTTTACTCATGTGGGGCTTAGATGAATGACAGTCACACTGATACTTTGATTACTTGTCTTTGTGTAATTTGTGCTTTTCATTTATTGAAACCTAACGGGACATGCTGAGGAAATGCAACAGAAGTCCCAAGGCAAAAGAAGTTCAGCTAAAAAGCGAGTGGCTGGTATTATGACTGACTTGTCTATTTTCTAAAATCTGCCCTTGTGTTATTAACACTCTGCATCCTTTTTGTATAGAATAGGTACAAAACATTGAAATTTCCCCAGATGACAAGCTTAACACAAAATTATACAACAAATTACAGTTACTTACAAGGCTTAGCACTATTACGGGTTTTACCTCCTTAGTTCCATTGTAATGTTGTGAGTTTAAGTACAACTGTCCCAAGGCAAAAGAAGTTTAGCTTGAAAACGAGTGGCTGGTATGATCACTCACTTGTCTACTTTTTAAACTTGCCCTTGTGTTATCAACACTCTGCATCCTTTAATATGAGCAGGTACAAACATTTTAACAAAATCAAGCTACCAATATTGTTTTGGACACTCTTTGAATATCTAAGAAAACAATTCCCGGACAGTGTAATGTCATAGTTACGACATTTTCAATGTGAATGTACTAATAGTGGTATTTCCATTTTTTGAAAGACCTTGCTAAGGATCCAAAGCAGTGTGCATCAAATGTAGATTCCCCTTTCATATCTGGAAAGCAATTAAAAAGTGACTTACTTTTAAAATGAAGGAATTATCTAACTTAACATTTTTTGGAAATCTGTGAATTTTCATTATTGTTATTTGTCAACCAGATTGTTTTCACATCTGTTCCAGTGATATGTTTATCTTACTTTAGACACTTATGTTACCGGGTGATCAGCAAACTAATTTATTACTTATCATTTTAAGGGGCAGATTCCATACGATGATGACTTAAATTCACCTGTGGAGACATTACTCCACAGGAATCATTTGTGATTTTGACAAAGCAGGGCTTTAAGTTGCAACTGTTTTGGTTGCCATGGCACTTAGTCAATTTGGCCATCAATTATCTTGTGTTTGCTGGCTGCGCATAACTTGTACTAGCCAGCTGTAACATTGTTTAAAAGAGAGATCAACAACTTTGCATAATACAATCCTCATTGAAGTACTAGGTTTACAATTGCCACTTAATACTAATATTTCAAAGACATTAAGTGGTATGGTCAGCACAAGTTGCATCCTTTCATCCCACAAAGTTTCCTCTTCCTTTTTTTTTTCTTAACTAACGTAGCTATTCGGCCATAAGCCGAGCGATTTTTTCTGAAAATTCCCCGAAGTCTTAACAAAATTTTGGCCGAAAAAGGGTTTCGGCTCATAGCCGAGATCTTCTTGAAATCAAAACACAAACACTATGTAAAGGTCACTTCACACGGTCAGATTCGGCTTATAACCGAATATCCAACTTGAAAAAAACTAAGCACGAACTTGTTTCCGTTGGTTACTGACTTTATCATTGGTGGAAGCCCCTAAAAGAGCCGTTTCTTTAAAGTTGGAGCACAGTTACGCCACTGTAGGTCTTTAATCTTCCTCTTCGCTGTCTGTCTCGAACTCGTTAGCAATTTCGTTTTGTGCTTCATCGTCCCGGGCTTCGGGTATGCCTTCCATCTCTTCAGCACAAAAGGCATGACATCTTCTGTTCCATCAAGTGCGTTTGAAATGCCACAAACTTTGAAGGACTTCTGAACCATCTCCTCGAGAATTTCAGCCTTACTCTCCTTGATCCAATTAAGAAGCATGTCGCGGGTTGAAGGTTTCCTCTTTCCTTCAGGCGTGTATTCAAGTGGGCCGCCGATGAGTAAGTACTTTCATCTGACGTTCTCTTTGAATGGCTTGTTCAGCCAACGATTGAGTGGTTGAAGAACTAGAGTCAGCCCACCTGGTATTACTGTAACATCAATGGTCGACGACGAAGGAGACTCTTCACTTGTTCGGTGAGATGGCCTCGGAAGGAATCCCATACCAGGAGCAACTTTTCATTGGAAGGACTACACTGACGGCAAACATTGGCAGATCCACTCTTAAACACCTTCCTCGTCCATCAATTCTTTCTTCCAGAACGAAACCTTCACAAACTGGGAACAATCAGGTCTCTCGGCGTTCGCACTCCTTTGAAAACGACTTTAGACGGCAGTTTCGTACCATCAGCAGCAACAGCCAGAGCCACGGAAAAACTTTGCTTTCCGCACCGCATGAGTTAACGTGAACAGAACGGCTTCCACTAAATTCCAGTGTTCGAGTTGAGGCAAGCGTGAGGCGAGCATGAAGTCAAGAGGAAAAGTTATTATTTGCGCTCCTACCTTGTGCGTGACTTGCGCTCGCTTAGTACTTATCTCCATTTGCCTGAAAAATGCAACAAATTATGCCTGTTCTGCAGGCTAAATCTCTTAAACTTTAGTTCATTGGACAAACTAGTTAGTAAAAGGGAATGCAAGCAAAAAAATGAAATGTTACATTTTTCTTCTAACCTTTTCATCTCTCTTACTTACATACTAGCTTCTGGTTCCACTAAAGTTAACCCAGAGAAGGAAAGAGGCTCAGCAGGCAAAAAACGTGAACTTTATTCTGGGGTATCCAGGATTAGATTTAAGGGTAAGGACAAAAGGAATTTGCATTTTAAGTTGATTAATTATCCAATGGCACGATATTTTAAGGATTGATCATGTAAAATTTCTTTGCAAATTTGAACAAGTCACTGGTTTGAAATGAACTTCTGACCAAAAAGTTGCCTATGTTTTGATCACGTTTGAATTGAATAACCAGTCTACCCCAACAGGGCTAATCTCAGGACAAATACGAACAATCTGGTCCCAAAAATTTTAAATAAACATGGGTTGTAACAACCTCAACTGGCAGGAGGTAGGCGGCAGTTAGCTATATACAAAGCACAGCCAATGAGTTGAACTCGGGAAACCATTTAAGCACAATCCAGTGAGTGGCAGGGTGGAGGGCTTGTTCCCAGGATCTTACCACTTGGCCACCCTGCCTCCGCAATATCTGATGGAAAATCTCTGGCATGACAAAAAAAAAAGCCTTTGCTCTCGCTCTCTCTCTCCCCGCCCCTCTAAAAATATTACTTGCAATGAATGATTTTAAAATTCTTACTAAGTCACAGTTATTAAAACTGGTAATCTTAAAATAATTGACTCTCGATTTGTTTTAATATTCAAGAGGGAGAAGTAACTGATGATGACCTTCAAACACTTGGCAAAGCAATTGGTGTCAAGTGGGATCGGCTGGCACGTCAATTACCCAAAATTACGGAATGTGACATTGAAGAAATTGAAGACAGCCGTAAGACCTTGTCTCAAAGGGGATTTCATATGCTGAGACTATGGAAAACAAACAATGGGGTAGCTGCAGACTATAAGACTTTACATGATGCATTAGTCCACAATATGGTACAACGGAAAGACCTCGCAGAAAAGCTTTGTGCTAAATAAGAATATCTCATAGATATTGCTCATACCAAAACCTTGCAGTTGGTATAAAATGAGACGGCCTTATGTGGAAAGTAAAGACTACTTTGCGACAGTAGTTATCAATAAATTCCAGTTGGTTATTAATTGTTAGAATCTAGTGATTAATTTAACCCTGATTTACATCCTTTTATCGATAGCCTTTTTACAACATTGTACAGCATTTTTGATGTGTTTAGCTGAGTATTACACACGCATTTGATTGGATCTATTGGAGGTCGGACACATACGTATATGGAGGAGAATGTGAAACTTCGCTTAAGAAAGAAGTTCTTTTGAATAAAGTTGGAGTATTTTGCATACACTAAGTTCTCTAAGTTCTTTTAATGTAGACCACTATATATACTGTCTTTGAAAACAAAACAGGACTGCTTGTCTGGAACAATTAGGTCACAGGCTTCCCAAACTGTGAGATGATCGTCTTGGGAAGTAAGAATCATGACGAAATTATAGGAGTTTGTATGGGAATTTTTACGACCGCTCTTAGGAATAAAAAATAAGTCAGATTCTTTATAAAATGCTTGTTATCTGAACGCTTACTATGTTGAAAAGAACCCGTTTTAGCGAGATATCCATTTCTAGGTTTACTTAACAAACAGAGAAGCCTTGACTGTGCTCTTTTCTGTTGAAGCGGCTAGATCTTCTTGAGTGCTCTCGCCGCTTCCTAAGCGATTTACAACAGAACAGAGCACAGTCAAGGCTTCTCTATTTGTTTTACAATAAAGAATCCATTAAATTCTCAACTCATTACTTTCAATTTTCAAAACGAAATTTATTTCCAAAGCGAACACAGTGTCGTCAGCATGCTCTATACTCTCATAAAGCACGCTACAATAAGCCAGTCAGAATCCCTGTTAGAATAGTTTAAATAATCTAATTAGCTGTACAAGACTAAAGCTGTCAATAATGTCAAACCATCAAATTTAAAAAACCATCACATTCTGCAATAGTTTACAAACTTAATAGTTTAGCAAGTCGAACTTAATTCTTTCGTCTGCAGCCTTTTAGTCTCTACTACACAATTTGAAGGTGAAATGTTCCGTGAAATTCGGCCGAATTGTGGCTCAAAAACACGCAAGTTTTTTTTTAACATTTTTTTTTCAATTAGAAAACAAACTGTTCAAGCGTGTGTTTTATAGATGAATGACAGCCGAATTTACCGGAATACGAAGATTGCTCGGTATGACAGCGTCGTAAAACTCGGCTGAGTGACTGATGTGGCCTTCCACTCAACGCCTCGGAAAAGATATCAGAGCAAGCTCTTAGTTGTTCTCTCGAAGGGCGGCCGATGTAATTTCATTATGAAGAAGCCATGCCAATAGCTGTTTCTCAGATCTGTTCTGCCCTGTAGTAATCTGTTAGGTGAAACTGCAGCAGTGTGTGCCAAATTTCAACCTTTATTTCAGTCAGTAGTGTCAGCCATTTTGTTTTAAAGTTATAGTGGTCAGGGAAGTAGTTTCTTTGGTGACACAGTTCATTTAACATTGAAAGTGCAGATAGCCATAGTGATGATGGTTCCAGATGATGAATAGTATAAAAAATCAAAACATAAGGGAATAATAATCCTAAAGCTTTCCAGATCTCAATACCATGCCATACTGAAAAAGACTAATGGAACTACTTCCTCTAAGATGTGCAGCAGGCAGACATACTCAGTGTCTTTACATAATTTAAATTTTTGTAGAAATTTATCTCTAATGAGTAGCCAACCACACAGGACTCCACTAATTATTAAGTTTGATTGAAAAGGCTTGGGTTTAAGGGGAAGCACACTTCTAAAAACTTTGTTGTAAACTCTTGAAAAAATGAAGTGTAACACTGAGGTTATATCCTCTCCAGCATTAAAGCTCACATGGGAAGGGCCTTGTTCTGGGATCAATGGATGTTGCTTTGCTGGGCAATTAGTTTCTTTATAAAGTGTTCAGTGGGCCAGTCTTCAGGACAGGGAAGTGCATATTTTTTCATGTAGGTTAACAGGTTTAGTCCAGTACTTTCTATGGTATGGTTGATAGCAAGCTTATAGTCTTTCATAAACTTAATGGGATTTTCAAGCTCATTTATTAAGAGGCAAGTGCCTAGTTTGCAGAGCACTTCATGTGCCAAGTTGTGATAGACTCAAAATGCTTGGAGGTATCTCCATGGAGCTTTCTTTATGACTCAGGGACACTAGCCAAGTTTGAAGAGTGCCATTTTTTCATCTTCTTGGCAATTATATTAATGCTTTCTTCTGAAATGCCACCCACGCAAGCTTTAGTAGTACTTCCATCAATAAGTACATTAGGGGAACAGTGAATCATGTCCCTGTTCTTGGATAACTTTAGGGCTTGAATGGAGTCCTGAATATCCATAACGATGAGGTCATGTGAGTTGTAACTGACAGTTTTAGGTTGCTCTCTGGCATCCGCACAGTGTAGATGTTGTGGAAGTCATCAAGAAGAAGTAGCATGAAACACTTACCCTATGGAATATAAAGAGGAGTTTTAGTTCAAATTATTTTGGTCTTAATAAGATCTTCAGGTAAACAGCAAACTGACACTTCCTCTCGTACAACTAATCAGTTCCCCCTTTTATGTAATGAATGATGCTTTCTTCATTTTTTCTCCAAGCTACTTGGATAGTCTCATCTAAGGGCTGCATCATATCTATCAATGGTGAGAGGGGCAACTCTATATCCTGAGAAAAGTAATCACAATAGAAAAGTTAAAATCTAGAAATGTGTCAGCTGACATCTATTGTAGATTATTTGACAATTGATTGACTTTGTTATACACAGCTTTTGAAAAATTCAATATGACTAATCCTCACTTAGGACTGGGCCACTGTTAATTGTAGAGCAAGATGCCCCTTGATGGTGTAGAAATAGTCACAAGTCTGTGAAATGTAGAGGGTTTTTTGTGACCTGCTCATGTTAACAGTCGTAGTCGAGTGTTTTTCCCCACTTCTTGAGTACGTTTGTAATCTTGCAATCTAAAATGATGGGCGCGAAAACCGTCAAAACTCGGACAATCCGATTTGTTATCACTGTGAGGATTTTCGTCTCTGCTCACGATATAATAACGTAAATTATAGCGCTTAGTATGTTTACAAATCTTTGTTTGGTTCTTCTGTTGCTAATTGCCGACTCGCTTGTTTCGAAATTTTTACTTTCAATTAACGAAAAAAGCTAAAGAGAAGGCCCGGAAAAGGTCAGATGGCGTGGCACCTTTAGCTCAGCTCTATGTTTTGTATTCTGATAGAACATGCTCTTTTAACCAATGACAGCGCGCGTTTTATCCGAACTTTATTATAAATGAATTTAACAAAAAATAATTTCGAGGGCAAAAATCTTAAGTCTAAGAGCGGTTAGACCCATGGAACTGGCAGAATTGAGCTGAAAAGTATGTCAAGCCAGAAGGTGATCAAATTTGCTGGTGTACCAGTATTATCTGTCAGATTTTTCAAAAAGCTGAGGGTACAAAGCGTCAAATTTAGGACCGCGCAAACAAACGCTGACCAGTAATGGCTTATAGGTGTTTGAAATGACCTGACGGGAACAAAATTGTGACAGGCGCGTTTTATTTTCAAAAAAAAAATTGCCTGTGTTTTTACTTGGTCATACACTTGAGAGCTCGACGAATTCGAATGGAACTAACGGCCATTTTACTTTCTCTAATCTTTTACGGAGTTTTGGGTAAGTTTTGGACGGCTGAACGAATTAATTTGAGTCAAGAAAGCGTGGTATATCGTGCTGACAGTATCGTAAGAGAGACGGTCCGCTTCCCTCTCGACCAAGAGATCCTTAAGGCAGGCAAAAGGCAAATCAAAATTCATTCAGGGGCCAATTTAATGTGATAAAAAAGACTGAGAATTATTTGCGCACTTTCCGATCATGATTATGTCGTCACAATTGTTTTACTGTCGATATATTTCAACAGACAACAATATAATAAAAATATTAAAATTTTTGAGATGCGTAGCCAACAAATGTGTCAGTTCCGAAGACTTTCGGTTGAAAGTTACACTTGTTTGATTATTTTAGTGAATCGGTTGATTAGCTGAGAGAAATATCAGATAAAATTCATTTCACAAAATGTTCAAGTTCAATCAACTGTATTATCACGTGTTACGTTGTAGGTTTTCACCAGAGAATGATTGACTCTTTGCATTTTACGGAAGATTTACATGTATTTATATTGATGTAAAATTCATCATTTATATTTCAACTTAGAGGTAGATAGACTTACTGTACTTTCTAGATAAAACTTTGTAGTATGAAATTTGATCAAATCTTGGCAGTGTTTTTTGTGCGTGTTGATTGAAAGAAATTAGTAAGTACCATCCTCTTCCGAGCAGCCGAAGAGTCAAAATTACGCTTCAAAAGTTGGATTTCTAGCCATTTGTAGGTATATTGACAGAAATAGACTAATTTTTTGGTTCCTTTGTGGAATATGCTAATACAATTATTTACCTCAGTGTTGATAAAAATGGTGGATATTCACCTTCGCCTAGGTGAATAATTGTCAAAGAACGATGCTGTTTCTTTCCTTCATATCAGGCACCCCAATAAATCACCTAGGCCATCGCCGTCAGTATGTGAGTTATTACCCGGCCGGTTGTGATGGTTATCACATTCCTTGTTACCCACGACCGGAATCGGATTGTGAAATGCGGCGCAGGATAAACCAGCCTGACTGGACTAAACCGGTTTGTAACCTGGACGGTAGTTACAGGGAGTATCAATGTGAGGCTTATTCTCGCTCTAAGTGTTGGTGTGTCTATGACAATGGAATGATGATACCAGGTAAACGCATAGAATATCGTATTCTTCAGTTGATTTTTCATAAGTTTGTGCGCTGTAAAGATTGTGTTAAACGCACCCATCAATTGACCCATTGTTGTTGCAGTTTTTCCCGGTTTCTGCTCCACTAGCAGATTCCTTCTAAATTGTAGCCAAAATAACGGCACCTACCTCCCCTTCCCCATCTATATAAGTTTCTAGGGTTTCCACGACCAGTCACCGTTGTCCTTTCACATTTCTACGAGGAAGAAAGTAATCTCATAACCAGATCCTACCGTGTAACTGTAACTGCTCGGCCATGAAGGGTCTGGGTACGAAACTAGGATGAAATACTCCCAAGGTGAAGCTGGTGTTGACTAAGAGCCCTGCCTGCTAATTAAACCTTAAAATTGATTAACTTGTAACTTCTCCCAATAGAATTCATACATCACCCAGCAAACAGGTAATGAGAATACTAAAACTCATCAGGCAGAAGTTGTTATCTTGATCTAACACCAAATCCTTGTAACTCATTTAAAGGGAAATGTGCAGAAGCTAGAGGGGAGAGTCGAAAACCAGATCGTGGGCGTTAAAGGGTTAACCCAGATCAGGATTCGCAACTGGACCTACAGTAATTACGTGTGTTGAAATGACAAAAACGTCTATATACACTTTGATATCTATTTAGATCTCCCCATACAATTTTCATTCAGGAACTGAGAAAGATCTACACGACGCCAATGTGGAATACCACAATCTGAACTGCGCAGAAGCTAAGAGTAACGCACCGCCTGCTCCTCACCCTCCCCCTGTCAGTTCACCATTCACAGACACAAGAATTGGTTGGCATCTCGCTTACAGAGATGCTTATTTTAGATGCCCAAGCCCCTGTTATTCTCCCTGTCCGTGTCAGCCTGGGCAACAGTACTACAATCCCTATTATCCAGCCCATGTAGTTAATTCTACGCCAGTCCGCGCGCCGGTTCCTGCTCCAGCTCCATTGCCAGCCCCTGCGCGTGCGCCCATCTATTATCCATACGATCCCTACGCAACCACATATACGGTTAGTAAAACCTCATGATAAACTAACTGAAAAAAAATTAAATGAGACAGTCTTTGAGCTCTTAAGACGCTCTAAGGGGCAACCGTTGGAGAGGCCTGTTAAAAAAGAATTTCCAAAGGGATGGCAGCTTTTCAGTATACCACAATAGAATGCCTTCGTTTTCCTTGGCAATACATGCTTGCAAACTCATACAAAAAGAGGTGGTACTACTTTTTTTTTGTTCTTTATTGATGTTCAGTATTCAAACGGATTTCATTATTCAAAAAATGTTAAACTACGCGAATACTAAATAGTTTATATGTATCATTCTAACGATTTTCGTATAAAGAACCTTTTAGATTTAAAAAAATGTCCACAGTCGAAAAACCTGAAAAGAAACGTTTTCAAGCGTCTGTGCAATTTCATGAAGCAACACGATTGGTGTTAGTTTCGCTTTTTGATTGGTCGAGAGGGTGGCGCGAATGTTCTGCACTTATCACATCCCTTAGTGTTACAAAACTAAGCAATCCTGAATAACTTTCGACACTAAATTTGAAATTTTTTTAAACTGAATATATTCGTTTCCAGGCTCCTTATCAAGGCAGCTGTCCGGATCCCTGTCCCGAACCATGCCCGTGTCAAAGAAGTGGGAAAACCCCGCCATCTGAGGAAGAGAACACGAGCAGTGCCACGGGGTCTGGAGATGAGAAAGACGTGACGTCAGAGGGGAACGAGGATGTTCAAGATTAAAATATTCCTTTACACTTCTTCATGACCTTTTATTTGTTTGAATAAATTGCCTAAAAATATGTTTTTTTCCTTTGTATATTTTGTCTGATGCAACTCACATCTACCAACTATTAGCCCTTTTTACATAAATATATCTTATTTTGACGTTTTGGTGTGGAAAAAATACCCAGTGAGTAAAAATACTCAGCGATACTACACACCAAACGTCTAATTAGTTATTTATGGTCCACCTGTTTTTAATTTTATGAGCATTTCTTATAAGGCGAGAAAGGCGAAGCAGATAGATAAGCGTGGCACGCGTAACCGACTGGTTTAATTTTCAAAGAACAAAATAACAAGCTTCCCAAATATCGCGTGATTTCTGCACTTGATACGCGTGTTATTTGTACTCTACCATGCCATTACTTATGCAAAGGCTCCTGACTTTACCTCGTGCGGTTGGATTGGGCTTCTGACTCTACTTTGTGCAGTTGGATAATAAGCTGCAATATTTCTGATATAACCTATGTTCCGAAAAAAACCCAGAACAGCTGTGTTTGGAAGGGAGAGCAATACTTTTTTCTCTTGACATTATCCATCTCTTCTGACCCGCACCAGGCGTCGCCATGTAGATGTTTTAAAACTTTAGCTGTTTTATGTCTGAGCTTGCCGTCGTTCATTAGCATGCAAAACATTTTTCTCTCTGAAGTTGCAACTGAAAACTTGAAATAAAGCACGACAAAATGTATTGCGTACGGGAAAGAAAAGAAACTTGAACTTTGATCTTTGCCAAGTCTCAAGGCGAGTAAATGAATTAATGTAAGTATCTTTGCCAAGTGTCAAGGCGAGTAAATGAAATAATTTAAGATGATTGATAAAAGATTACATGACCTTTTTGCGATGGAAGAAAGAAAAAGAAAAATTATCCTTGAAAACCTTCCTCAGCCTAAAAAACTTTCCTAACAAAAAAGACAACAACCTAAACCTGCTTTCTGATTTCATTGTATTTGTTGCATACACGAAAAGGAAAATTTTTTGAAAGATGATATTCTTCTATCCATCCGGTTTACGTAATGGAGATCTTTCCACCTTTCAACTTTTAACATTCAACTTTGCTTTCTTTTTCCGGTATAAAGTGCACTTACAAATAATAATAAACATATGCTTGCAGGGAGTCATTGCTTGCAAGGCAGCCCTGTCCTGCATCCAAGAACTGAAGAGAGCTTGTTTGTTACCGTGTATTTCAGTTCCATTATCCGAGTGATAACTCATGATGAAGAGGCATATCAGAATTTAGTTTCGTATGACGCTGATGAAAAAGCCCACTCGAACGGCTGAGTTAGATTCACGAATTCAGTTCTGCTTTTGTTTATTTATGGTCTTCAATCTATTTCTGTGAACCGATTTTGCTGTCGTCCTCCTAAAGAATAGAGGGCAATCACCTCTTTCAAGTTGTTTACTTGTCTTTGCAAAAACCAAATAACGCACTTACACACGTTAGAGTAGATTAACTAGATATATGTGCCTTATTTTTGACCCCCGTGGTGGTGTTTTCGAGGAAGATATCAGATCTTTAAGATAAAATGCAGTAAAACAAGTTTATGTGGCATGTCCCTCGCGTAAATGCTGACTAATAAACCAACAAGAAATTTCTTGGAGAGTAATAAAAATATATTCTCGCAGCAAATTTTTCTATTTCTGGCAAATGCCAACTGTACATATATATCCCTTCAGTACGGTTAAGAATTAAAGAGGTCACGGGTGAACCTCATTGAATCGAAGCGAGAAAAAAAAAAAGGAAATCGCTAATGAAATTTTTTCAAATTTTCTGTCAATCTCGTAGCCTATTTTAATTTATTTCTCGGAATCGAGCCAAAAAAAAAAAAAAAAAAAAAGATGAGAGACGGAAATATTGTTTGCTCGGATAAACTGATGATGGTCGCTTTCGAAATTAATCTGCACATCCTTTTAAATTTCCGGAACAAAATAAAACCGCTTATGTCGAGCTACCTTGCAAACAAACTCAACCGGATCAGGGAAGATATAATATTTTTTTCATTCAAGTGCTTACGCCTCAAAATTTCCTGCTTCTGGGTATAAATATTTCAATTTAATGTTTTCGGATAACTGAAGCTCTAAAGCATTAAAGTGAACTAGAAGTTCTCGATGTAACGTACTTATATTAATTTTTTTCAATGAACAGTTTGTATGGTTTGACACGGTTTTTCACTAATGGATGTCCAATGGTCTTAGATAAAGATAAAATAATCTTTAAGCCGTATGAATAAGCTCTTTTAAAACAATTTGTGTGTAAATGTAGGAAAAACCTTGGTCCGTAGCTACTATAGTAGATTTAATCTTTCTCTTCAATTCTTCATCTTGTAATACTCAGTTGGCAAAATGTGTGTCAGGATCAATTATTTCTATCCTTAAAATTGCAATCTACCCGATCTCTTCAATATAAAACCTCCTCCCCCTCTTCCTGAGTGTCATTAAATTTAAAACACTTTTTAGATGTTCGCCGACAGGATAAAAAGCAAATGGAAGCCCGCTTTATTAATGCAAGCTCAGACGATGTCGCACGAGGGGCGTGCAAGGGGGCGGCACACGTCGCATCTGATATTTCCTCACGTGAGGCGTAAACAACAAGCTTACACTGTGGGAAGTTAAAAACAGTGCGAAACGATGGTAAGTAAAACACCTTTTGAAACACTTTTGTTTTTCTTTTCGCGATTTTTTTTCTTTGCTTACGTCTGGCTGTGAAAGGAGTTTATACAAATGTAAGTAAGGTGCCAACAGAAATCGCGGTATTTTGTCTCACGGTAATAAAAAAGAACATTATTTTTTGAAAGCAATCTATAAATTTTTAGGATCCACGGCATTCAGTTACTGGCACGTGAGCTACACGCTGAAACATGCATCCGTTAAATTTCTTCGTTTCGATGCATCATAAATAACACGTCTTTAGTCGTTTTTAAACTTTTTGTCCAAATATCTAATATTTTCTTGTTTTACTTGGGGGTGTATGAAGTTCATGGTTGAAGCAAGGCGTTCAGATCGGCAAAGACATACGTTCTTTTCCAGTCAGTATATTTTGTCTATAGATATATTAACTTTATATTAGTAACTGTTTCCTTCCTTCTCTCCATGTAGTAGGAGTAAATTTTTATAATGTGCATGTAAAATTGAATTATTAGCAAGTAAATTCCAAGCGCTTTCGCTCTCCAGCATTTTGCCCATATTACTATCAAATTAAATTTGTACAAAAGAAAAAATGCTGTTTTACTTTTCGGTACTTAAGGGAAAAGCAAAGATTCAGACTTTTTTCTGAAGTCATTTTGTTTTTTTCCGCACGAGGATACTGCCTCAATCGCAAAGGAGAAAAAAAAACTGCAAATATTTTTCCTATATATTTTCGCATATATTTCGTTATCTTTGCCCTTAAAGCATTCAAATTCGTCGAGATCTTAATTGTTGAGATCTTGAAGCTTTGAGATCTTAAAGGTTTTTCGAAAAAAAAAAAGACAGCCCTCAAGCATAAACTGAATGTTATTTAAATCGCTGATGTCAGTTTGTATGGATCTGTCCTCTCAGCATGATATCCATGATGTATAAGCTTTCATGTACTAGTAAAAGTACATTATTTTCAATTGCTGTTTATCTACAAAGAACTGCCAAAAAGGAAACAAAAAACGATGCGATGGCGCCCAATTAACACGAAGTCCCACCTGCGGCAAATTGAACAGAACAAACGAGCCTGTTTTCGGTACTTTCCGCCTCGGGGTAAATTTACCACCTGGCAAGTCTCTTTATGGGCGATTTGGAATGGTTGCTCTAACAATTTCCGAAAGACGAATACATATTTAAATCTAGATAAAAATTTCATTTCTAAATTTGCCACACTATCTTGTAAATTTTAGTTTTAGCATAATTTACCATCGTTGTAGTTTTTCAAAGAAAATTTTCATCACATTTCAGCGAGAGATATAGTCTCTTAATTTCAGCCCATGTCATCAAAAATTAGCTTTTGTTTCTATTTCCAACTCTCTTGTTTTTGAATTTTTCAGGTATACAGCTAATGGATTTTGATTTTCCAGAGGATCCCTAACCGCTCATTTGCTTTTTCTTGAAAAATTATTGCGTTATTCCCCCCATGACACTCTATGACGCAAAGCGGGGCGCGGCGCTGAATCAGAAGAGACTCCTTAAATATGGAATTTAACTTCTCAATAGCGAACATAACAAGTGGAACAAACTTATACCCAGCCAATGAGAGAGTGTCATTGATTCTTAGCCCTCACATTACCATCATCATTGTGGTATTCATCTTATTGGCTATCGTAATAATCGCAGGAAACCTATTGGTTCTTGTGTCCATTCGTTCCAACTCTCGCTTACGAAGCCCAGAATGCATTCTGATATTATCCCTATCAGTCGCCGACCTAATGGTAGGGCTATTCCTACTTCCAGTTAAAATCGTAGAGCTGATGTCTCTTCATTGGGCGAGAAAATTCATGTGGTGTGACATGACAATTTCCCTAACTCTCTTCGTGTTGAGTGCATGTCTGATGAATCTTGTTACCGTCGCATTTGATAGATGTCTGGCGATATCCTACACTCTGAGATACAACAGCTTTATGACGGTTCCAAAGGTGTGTTTTGGAATCGTCATGGTATGGCTGACTGCATTCACAGTTGCTTTTTTGCCGTTGTCAGGCGTCGGTACAAAATCGGTGAAAACTCAACTCCTTGGACGCCCATGTTGCTTCTCTGACATCTTGGAAGAAAGCTACATGGGGCTTTACTTTGCCTTCATTTGCGCAACACCGACTGTACTCATAACCACGGCATATTTAAAGATCTTTCTTCTGGCACGCAGTCAGGCGCGACGGATTACTTCACTAAGGATGTACATAGAGGAACTTTCAACATATAATGGAGGACCGATGAACTCTCCAAGACCGATTCGTTTCGCACGAGAATCAAAAGCCGCTAAGACTATAGGTAAGGTGCAAAAATCTGTATTTTATGAATTTTCCTTTTTTCTCGTAAATTTACGAGTTTTTTGGGGTGCATTTCGATAGAGTTTCGTAAAATCAAACCAAGTAAATCCCCTTGACCCTTCAGAAGAAGTGGAAACAAAAACGACGGAAAACTTCCTAATTTTATCGAAGTAATAATTGCACGATAGCCCGCGGTAGTTGAAGAATTAAATATAGAGTTAATTCTGTTGTTTTTCACGGTGGATTTTTCGACGGGACCTGGAAAGTTATCGTCATAAAAAAGGTTACGTTTGTCAACTGGAATGGAAAATGTTCTTTATAACACAATTGTCCATATAATGTCTAAAGTAATCCGAGATTGCTGTGATTTTTCTCTCCGCTCCGTGATTGGCGTAGAAAACTTGCACCATTCTCTCGACCAATCAGATGCAAGGCTAAAAGCAATTACGAGTTGGTCGCCGGCGTTTTCCTGCGCTTTAGGTAATTTGCTTGATTTTACTTTGAGGTATTTACTCTAAAGGTATTTTCCTTCCTCCTCATTTTCTTTGGTTTTGGTTAAACGACACTCAATCGAAAAGCGCTCTAAATTGATTACAAAAGATCACAGTGCACAGTAACTCTCCGCTGCTTCTTCGGCGGGTCGGCGGGTAAGCGAGATTACCTTTTGACATTTCGCATCAATGAGCTATCATGAAAATCTGTTCCACAGTCTTATCTAACCTACATTTTTTTTTAATTGTAGCGATTGTCGTTGGTGTGTTTTACCTGTGTTGGATTCCATTCTTCGTCAGCATTCTTTCAACAACTTTCAAACAAGAAGCTGTTCCTTATCTTTACGCCGCTTTTGTGACATGCCTTGTTTACTCCAACTCCGCATTGAATCCGCTCATCTATGGATGGCTGAATCAAGAGTTCAAAACCACTTACAAGAGATTGGCCAAAAGTTTTCTCTGCCTCACTCGAACCAGGTGCCTCTCAAGCTGTCGTGTAACTAGGATAAAAAAGTCCCCTGTGCGGCACACAGTCACCTCAACGATCTCTGCCACGCAGTCAGAAATAGCATCGCAGAACTTCCGCCCAAGTGCGTGCTGTACAAGAAACTTGTAGAACATGGTCGATTCTTTTGCAGACTGAGATTTTATTTGGTGAATGCAGTGACAAAGGTTAAACAAAAATCAAACACAGTCATAGATAAACTGACCTGTCATTTTTATCGCTTACGGGGAGGGGGTCGTGGAATTTTATTTGTATCACGATACAATTTACCTGCTCCCCCTATAGGGTTCCGTAAAGTTCCTATTATCCCGTCCCCACCTCATTGGCATTTCATTGGCAGTCAATTTTCTATAGTCTTCCTTTATACTCTATTGGCGACGACTGACCTCCCCTCCCTTTCCTTCTGAGAACCATGATATTCCTCCGCCCAAAAAAAAATCCCTCACCTCCCCAAGCGATAAAGACGACTCTTCCCTGAGGAAAATTTTTTAAAGGCTTTGATGTTGCTATCGAAACATATTTAATTTTCTCGGAAAAAGTCTTTGATTTGTTTAATTGTGGTTGGAAATTCGTAAGAATCCATTTTCGAAGGAGCAAATGGAAATATTTTCTTATTGATCCCACGAACGATAAAAGTGTGTCGGTTTTGTGCCTCCTTGATTGAAAATGTTTTGATACTTTGAATACCAGCTTCACATGTTTCTCGCGTGGAAACAGGACATCTTCTAACAAAAGTGAAATTTATTTTTCTTCCGCTTTCTGGCAAGAGAGAAATAATTATTTGGTGCGCTCTTGCATCGAGTAATGTCTCCATATGCAATGTGGGATGTTATTTTAATTCCTGCCTTTGACAACCTTTCTATAGGGATTGATACTTTCAAATATTGCAAATATTCAATTGTGAAGTTCAACAATAGAACATTATTAAATTGCCTAAAGTCTTCCAAAGACTGTTTGTAAAATATTTTGATGACATTTCGACGTTGCTTCATGTCATTATCAAGTCAAGTGTAAAGATGACGAGTGAAAGTATTTAAAGTAATAAAAATTTATTAAGAGAATGATTTTGTCTCCATGGGTATACTTCCCAACTGTAAAATAACATCGAGTCGCATTTGATTAGTCTTGTACTACACTTTTCCAAGGGAGGATTTGGAGAAACATTGGATGCAAAGTTCAACGCTGTAAATTAAAATATACCAAATATTCTAAAAACTGTTTGGAAAAAAACTTTGACAAAGTTTCGACGTTGCTTCACGTCATTCTCAATTCAAGGGGAAAAATGAGAAGTGTAGATATCTTAGGTCATTAAAACATTGTTTATTATCGCCACAAGAGCGGAAATAAAAATGTGATTATATTTTGTAAAAATCTCACTGAATTATCTTTAATGGGTTATAGTAAAATTATTTGAAAACCAAAGACGTTGAGAGATCTCGAGGAAAGAGAGACGGGAGAGGCAATAAGATCGTGGCGAATGAAAACAGTATTGAGTAGAACAATGGTGCAGCACGTGTATTCTTTAACTTTTCAGATTTCCTGGCCATCTTCGGCAAAACAAAAATTTGAAGTTACCAACTTTGCATGGTGTGAGTAAGGTAGACCGCCGGAGAATTATTCACCTTTCAATTTGGAACTCATAGCTTCTCACATATGATATCATGGGCTAAGTAGAAGTCTGGCGCCCTTGACGGTAAAGATTTGCGTAATTTTTTAAGAACATAAAATCATCTTTTAATGGACGTTTTCTTAGGTATTGCCGTTCTGACAACTCAAGTTTCCAAATAAATTGAAACTAGGTTACGGAATCTTCATGTACGCTTTACTGCTATGGAGATTCTTCTGATGTTGGTCATGAACTCAGGGTATCTGCTCCTCCGTGAGAAGCGAGACATATTTTCCGTGTATTATGAAAAGTTTAGTGAGAAACAATTAAAAAAGCTTTATGCAGTGTTCACGTTCATAACAGTGGATGGTTGTTTCTAGATTCTCCCTGGTTGTTCTAAAACGAAATTTATTTCAACGTTTCATACTTTTGAAAGAAGGTCTATACAGGGGTTCAGTCCTTTCGCGATTAAAGTCAATGCTGGGAATGGAAGTTCCATATTAGTTAAAATAGTTGAAGCAAGATTTTCCCGCTTCCTTCTCAAATGTAGTGCTATGATAACAAATTATTTCCTATATCAGCAAGGTACTCAATTTGGTGCCCAAAGATTTTCTCAATTAGGGTTTGGCAGATTTCCGTCGCACATTTTCGGGCAGATGGCTCTATCCCAGTCAATCCTTCACCTCGATAAATTTGGGAACGTTTATTCGGGAGACAAGCTATGGTTCTCGGGTGTAGCCCTGATATCGTTCGGTTTTTTCCTTTTTAGTAAATTTCCCACCGACACAAAAAAAAGACTCTCGATCCTTAAGAAAGATTTCTTATAGTTTTACTACCCCTCTGACCTTGTTTGGTTCTGGAAACACTCTATTTATTCTTTTCTATGGATGATCATCACACGGTAGAAAACTTATGAGTCACGTAAGTAGGTTCTGTGGAACGTCACCTTCATGTTTGCTAGTTTTAAAGTCGTTTTAAAGTCTTGAGCAATCAACTTTATATAATAACTTTTCCTACTCAATAGTTTATTTAGCACTTTTTATCGCGTGCGCACGTGTCCTGATATTACGCCAAAAGTATCCGTCGATAAGTATCACGAATGCACGCTTGTCGTAATCATAGCGTGATTCGTCGAGCGTCATTCCTGAGTATTTACTCTATGTCTCACAAACATGGTGTAGAAAATGACTATTCCTGATGTCTCAGAATGAGGCTTAATGAACGCGAGGAAGATAAAGTCACTTCACAGTGAAGCTAACGGGAGCATCTTCGTCGGAGATGATTTTCCGGCGTTAAGGCTCGCTCAGGCAGATCTTCTGTTCAGACCACAATAGACGGAGAACCAAAACAGTTTCTTGTTGTTGTGGTCCTCAAAACTTTTGCATCAATCCGCCCCGTAAAGCTAAAATGCACCACCTTTACAACTCAAAACGTCACAGATTTCCTACGAAAAGACCCCGTTTTCTTTATCAGTCCTTCTTTCATCTTCGACAACGAAGAAGGCTGGTTCCGTTTATCGTTAGAGCCGATTTTTTCATGCCGTAAGTACTGTCTGACCGATCCTGAGAGCATCTCCGACACCTCTTTGTATCCGTCGCTTGAAGCAACGGAAATTTCGTAAAACGGACATTCAAGTTCTTGAGACAAATCGCTGCCTTCTGTTTCATCCACCTCTCGAAAATGTTCTAAATCTCTTTTTGTACCAATAAGAATTATCATCACCGAATTTCCGTTTGTTTTTCGTCTCCGGATGTGTCTTCCAATACGAGCAGCTTCGTGGAAACTCGAGCGATCGGTGATGGAGTATAGTACGAGGAATATGTCTCCACGAGTGAGGCAATTGTTCAACTTTACTTCTGAATTCTGCAAAGTAGGAAAAAAGAACTGATAAGGTATTGAAATTCGAGTGATATCACTTTTTGTTGACTAAGAGTGGGAGGATCTTACGCCAAGCCTGTCAAGCTTAAGACTACCTCTTTGGCTTACATCTGGTGCTCCAGTTCACTTTGATTTACACACGAAATGTTGTATTTTTATTTCATCTTTAAGTATGCATTTGAATTAAGCAAACTTTTTTTAAATTTTGAAAATATTTCAGACTGTAGCTCAGATGCCTCTGCCTCTCTGTTGCTCATGCTATTCGAATGAAACAAATTGATAATGCATCTAGAGTCATTAGAAATTAATCGAGAAAATGATTTATTCCAACGGCCGTGGTAAGTTAAAACAACCTGATGAAAGAAAACGTTCCACTTATTTATTTATTTGCTCAACAAATTCCGTTACTTTAGTTTTTCACTGCTCCACCAAAGTAACTCTTTGTTATTATTACTTTTTTTCAATTCATAATTGATTCAGGACTGGACAATTCAAACTGAGTTGTTAGTTATGAAAAGTTTCCCGATAGTTTACCTCTCCAGCCGTATCCATTAAATCAACATAGATGAAGTCATTATCCACTTCCATGTGGTGTCTCCATGTTGATTCTGAAATTCAAATATGATGAGAAGGGTATTATTTGAGCCCAGTAAGTTATACAGGCTCGATTACCAGCCACTGTTCGGGAATATGAGCCGGCGCTCCTTCCCTGGAGCGAAGACCGGACACGAGGGAGAGGCGGAAATCGAGCCTATCTATCAGAGCGCTTATCGATTGAGTGTCTAAAAAGCAAAGTCAGACTAATCTCAATGGCCGATCAGAAGAAAAGAAATAAATTTAAGACCCAATACGAACTACAGGTGAAACAACCATTCTTCCCGCTAAAGCGCGGGAAAACGCAGGCGACTTAGTCGTGATTGGTTTTGGTTTTGCATCTGATTTGTTAAGAAAGTGGCGCAAGTTTTTCTGGACCAATAGCAGACATATTTGCGTGATTATTGAGAAGTAAACAGAAAGTGCAATCATGACACTGGTGGAATACCCTTACTTAACCAAAATTATTCCGTTCAAAAAAATGTTGCCTTTGTTTCGTTTAAACAAAGTTTCATCAAAATGACTCGAAAATTCCACGAATGGAAATAAATCAGTTCTACCTACCTAACGTTTGGTCATATTCTGTGATAAACCTTCTTGTGAGAAAACGGACAATGAGGGCTGCAAAGTAACCAATAGAAAAGAATAAATCAGACAAGCTTGTAAAAAGCAGCTAGGATGAAAAAAGAAAATCAGTTAAATTAGCAATATGAAGTAGCCTCAGATACACTTTCAATACAGCTCGAAAAGGTAAATGGACTCTTTAGAGTTTGAAGAATGGTTGAACATTAGGACAGTTCACTTCAACACGAATTTAAAAGATCCAATAATTGTTAACTTGACAAAATAAGAGGCCGACAAACCGAGTAGTTCAGTAAAACTCTGCAAAGTTCATGAAAAGCTTTTGTTCAAATTTTCATAAGCTGTATATTTTTTCCTTTGACCATTTTACTGCACGATCCATTATGGATCCCTTTGAAGACAATTATTTTAATTTGGAGTGTGAAACTTTTACTGATTTCCCAGCCAGCGT